ATTATCAGAAAACCTATTATAGAACAATTTCTACCTTTCCATGAATCACTAGATTAAGATGGAAACCATTTGCTATATATATGATTCTGGAGAGACGCAGGGCTTCGCCTGTGCACGCGCCGCCCTCTTGGAAATAATTGAATTTCTGTATGTCAAATGTTGACAGAACTATAGCACTCTCTCGTTTGCACAAGCCGACTTCACTACGCGAGGATTGCAGAACACATTGGAAGGGATCTTAGACCATTCACTCATAAATAATCTTTCCTGATCTGAGAGATCCTTTGATCTGCGCTTTGTGGATTTGGATTGGTACTTGAGGTCACTGTGGTGCCGTTCGTTACACTTGTGGATGCATTTCACTTTGCTGGCTGAAGGAACCAGGAACTTGACCACAAACTCATGTTACTGGGTTCATAATGCAATTGACTTTAACAAGGGCTTCCGGATCAGTAGAAACCAAATTGCCAAAGACATTAAGACATGCCATGATGGCATTGTTTGAAGCATGTATAGAGTTCCTTCCTGCTTAGGCTTGTTAATTTTAAGTCAGAGACTACAATGTTCATGGCCAAAGAGACCAATGTAACCACATGGAACCTGATTATTAGCATTAGCTCCAACATTGATACCGATGCTTTGATTGGTAGTAAAACTGTTGAGTTCCCCCTATTAATTATAACCCAATCCAGAAATCGGTAGTGGTTGTCAAAGCCATTTAACTGTAAATCTGTTTGGTAAGAAGACAAACATTGGGGTTGACATCTATACAAGCATACATTTTAACCCAATACACTGTGAAATACACCTAAAAAACAAAAGCCTAAATATAGGCACAGTTTGATTACTATGGAATTTGTCTCCTCCTTGTATCAATTACATTTCTAATTGTTCTGTTTGAGTTTTGTTGACATTTTCTCCCTATTTATTACCCGAATATCGGAGAGGCATCGTCAGCAGGGAATTCCTGTTGTTGTTGCGCTCTAGCATGTGAAGCTAATTTAACGTATCAGTTAAGTGAGCATACCCTCACATGCTCGACTCACAAGACTCCTGAGTGGAAAAGCTGAATCGAAAACAGCTGAATGACCTGCCACGAGGTCTAAATGTCACCTAAAGGGCATTGCGGTAATAAAGTAGCTTCGCAATTTAGCTGTGTCATGGTAACAAGGGTTCTATGGAATGGAATTCTGACAGTACTGTAAATTGTAATAGGTTCCTACCAGATTAGTAAAACGCACACACCGAATTACTAGGTTATAAAGTGTGAAAAGTGTTTTCACGCCTAGACAGCGCTGCATAAACACCAAATTTTCACAATGGCTCTGGGCTGATGTTTCCAATAAAATGCCTTTAAACAATAAAATGTTGCTCTTAAGTTTGGACTGTTTTAGAAATGCATTGGTTCATTGACTAGTTAAAAAGTATTCCTTAGACTGCTGAGGTAGCTAATATTTCACCGTCTAGTATGTATTTAGGCTGTGAAAAGCCTAATCCCAGACAACAAACACCATCGTCTTTTAACGAAAGCAAGCCCACTCAGCAATTCTCATGGTTGAACTAATAATACACAGCACATCCTGAGATAGAAAACGTGATCACTGTTGTTAACACTAATTGTAATCTCTAACCACGATGAGTAACAGGCAGATATCTGCATGATGAGACTTGGTGTTCCTATAGTCAATGAATCAGGCAGGAAATCATTACAAACACTGTTGCTGCTAAAGTAACAGTGCCGGGCCCAGATAAACAGGTCTTTTACCCTACCTTTAATTGCCTTGGAAATTTGGCTTAATGGACAACTGGCCCCATTTTCCCAGGCCTGTAGAGGAAATTAGCCTTTTAATCAGGCTTCTTACCCCAGTAGCCACTTGTCAGGAGTAGCAGAGCTGCCGCTGCCCATTTGATGAAAAGCCTTTTGTATGTGAAAAGATCAATAATATGCAATTTACTAATTCATGTGTGCTGTTCCTTCACTTGTGTCGGCATAATGTAAGTTTGGTTGACTATCAAACCTGTCCTTCATGATGTTTATCTGCTGTGTTTCTACAGTGCTGCGAGACTCTGATGACAGCTTCCATCAACACTGGAAGTCAACACAACCGGATTTCCAGCTCTTGCTGCAGGAGACTTGGGTAAACAGTTCTCTCAGTTTCACACCAAAACACACACACACGCACGCACAGTCAAACTCATCTATAGAATTAGGCACATTCACTATATCCTGCTTAAAAATTCGTTTTTTACTAATCCTAATCTTAACCCAAAAACCTCAAATGAACTCTTAGAACCTACGGTAGTCTTAAAGGGTCTCACATAAAAGCAACTATTTGCCACTAGATCAGTTGATCTCCGTTTTTTCATCACTCTGCCTGACTGCCCAAAAAGGTTAACAGTTAACCACCCTCCTGCATTCTGTACAAGCAATGGTTTGCCTTGTCCCACCCAAAGGGCTGTGTTAATGATACTTGCCTTGTCCCCCCCTTCGGCTGTGTTAATGATACTTGCCTTGTCCCCCCTTCGGCTGTGTTAATGATACTTGCCTTGTCCCCCCCTTCGGCTGTGTTAATGATACTTGCCTTGTCCCCCCCTTCGGCTGTGTTAATGATACTTGCCTTGTCCCCCCCTTCGGCTGTGTTAATGATACTTGCCTTGTCCCACCCCTCGACTGTGTTAATGATACTTGCCTTGTCCCCCCCTTCGGCTGTGTTAATGATACTTGCCTTGTCCCACCCCTCGACTGTGTTAATGATACTTGCCTTGTCCCCCCCCTTCGGCTGTGTTAATGGTACTTGCCTTGTCCCACCCAAAGGGCTGTGTTAATGATACTTGCCTTGTCCCACCCCTCGACTGTGTTAATGATACTTGCCTTGTCCCACCCCTCGACTGTGTTAATGATACTTGCCTTGTCCCCCCCTTCGGCTGTGTTAATGATCTTAGCTTGTCCCCCCCTTCGGCTGTGTTAATGATCTTAGCTTGTCCCCCTTCGGCTGTGTTAATGATCTTAGCTTGTCCCACCCCTCGACTGTGTTAATGGTACTTGCCTTGTCCCACCCCTCGACTGTGTTAATGATACTTGCCTTGTCCCACCCCTCGACTGTGTTAATGATACTTGCCTTGTCCCACCCCTCGACTGTGTTAATGGTACTTGCCTTGTCCCACCCCTCGACTGTGTTAATGATACTTGCCTTGTCCCACCCCTCGACTGTGTTAATGGTACTTGCCTTGTCCCACCCCTCGACTGTGTTAATGATACTTGCCTTGTCCCACCCCTCGACTGTGTTAATGATACTTGCCTTGTCCCACCCCTCGACTGTGTTAATGATACTTGCCTTGTCCCCCCCTTCGGCTGTGTTAATGGTACTTGCCTTGTCCCCCCCTTCGGCTGTGTTAATGGTACTTGCCTTGTCCCCCCCTTCGGCTGTGTTAATGATACTTGCCTTGTCCCCCCCTTCGGCTGTGTTAATGATACTTGCCTTGTCCCCCCCTTCGGCTGTGTTAATGATACTTGCCTTGTCCCACCCCTCGACTGTGTTAATGATACTTGCCTTGTCCCACCCCTCGACTGTGTTAATGGTACTTGAATATAGTTCTCAAACTGTATCCATACAGTTTAACCATCCATATATCCTAATGACTATTCTTTAACCAATACATTTTTTACACAGAATAGAAACGTCCAAGACTAGTAAAACCTGCACATTGATGTAGTAAAGGCTGCAAACACTCTCTTACACATAACAACAGTTGCCAAATTGCATAAAGCAACACCATAAAACAATTGTCATCGTCGAGGAATGGGGAAAACACACCAGACTGCACCAGAATGGACAACATGTCTGTGACAACAGAACAGAGTCAACAAACTCCAACGGTACCGTGTGTGTTTTGGCAGATTGGTACCCACCCGGGAAGGTCATGATGTGTGTGAGGGCTCTGTGAGGGGACTCCAACTGCAGCTGGGCCAGCAGGAGCTTCAGTGTTCTGCTCACGTCACAGGTGTGTGTGAGAATAGCTCTTAACCACTTGTTTTGCGGACAAAACACACATTGTTGCGATTTGACTGTAAGAGCAATGTAATAACATGGATTAATGTCAGTAGTGATGGCTGGACAATATATAAGACATTTTTTATTTTATTTTACAGTCAAAATTCTATTTAAATTCAGTTATATATTTGAAAGAGTGTTTAACTATCAGCATGGTAAAGCCAATAAAATCCCTTTGAATTCACATTTCTTTAAGGTAACAACGCGCCAACATACCATGAAAAAACATCAACAGAAATACTATGATGATTTGGATGAAATATCTAAGCGTTAAGCTAATGTTCCTGTCATGCATACAGCCTGGGTGCTCTCTCAGAGCAAACAAAATCAATTTTCCACACAATCAAGCTTACTTCCCCTCACCAATATCAATACCAAAACACAAACAAATCCATCTGCGTAGAGCTCTAGAACTGTGTATTTAGACGGTAGCAGACAGTAATTGATTTCCACACGGGCAGTTATTTCTGCATGCTTTCTAAATAAAAGGTGGCCGAGAGTGCCCGAATCCGTGTGCCAGTTTAGTATGCAGCGTGTGCACCTTTAATTTTCAGGGGAAAATCGACACGCAAAAAAACTCAAGCAGGGAGAGATTAACATCCCATAATGGTTAAACAAACACGCACACAGCATGTAAATGCACACACACGGCAGATGGCAGATCTGAGATCTGTTGAACATTCCTGTCAGGGTTTGAGAAAATTAAATTGCACAGTAATTAATCATATACAGCAATAGACACAGCCGGTTTGAATGTGTCTCTCTTTCCCCTTTAATGCTCGTCAATCTCTCCCTCCTTGTCTCTCTGGATCTCTCCACCTTCCTACAGAGGATGACGTGTTTGAGCTGTGCCTGGGTCTTCAGACTCTCCAGGACCTCAAAGTAAAACCCCTTTAATTGTTACAAATATTATTAACTATTAAATTGTATTAACATATACATATTGAATTGTGTGTACCTCAGTTGGGAGAACATGGTGCCTACAATGCCAAGGTTTCGGGTTCAAATCCCTGTGGGGAAGACGGGGCAGTGCCCTGAAGTGCTTGCTAGAGCAGTTAATCATTTAATCCGGTAGCCTCTTTGAATGTCATCAAGCTTGGACTTCGCAGCGGGCAGATATTGACCAGCAGCAGATCGATAATACAAAGACATGAGTAACTCTCTGCTATTTCTTATCAGAAAACATAATCATGACAGAGATAGACAGGTTTGTGTTATTTCAGGGTGATTGCCGTCTGCTATTACTGCCTTTTAAGGACATGGCTGCATGTCATAGAAGAGATAAAGTCTGTAATTCATGGGAAAGTACAAATTCTTTGGGCTCTTTAGAGACGGTTTGATTTGAAATTCAATCACTTGGAATGTAGGTTGAATACACCTCCATAATTTAGCGTATGCTTTTACCATTTGGAAATGACAACACATATTATACTCATGCTTTGGTATTTTAGGGCACCAAAAGGTTTTGATTCAAAACTGGTCTTTTATGTTTACCATTCGCCCACACATTTTTGGATTGGCTCGCATGAAGTCTGTGAGCCAATCACCACAGCAGATTATACCGGTTGACACATCCACACCTCAGTTTTTTGTCTTCACCAAAGTGAGCAGTCCTTGGTAATCCATGTTAACAATGAAAAATGTTGTCATTCATAAAAAGTGAAAATATTATCGACACAAAACCCTAAAATAGAAGCTGTACATCAATACTCACAGTATTGCCTTATTGTTTGATTTCAAATGGAGTTTACTGAAGAATACCACTAAAGAAACATTATAAAACAGACAGCAGATAAGTGCAGTTCCTTAAAGATGTGTATTTTAAAATGCTGATATGTCTTCTGGAAATCGGAACACAAAGAGACAAGCTGAACAACACACATATTACATAAATACCCAAATGTTCTCCGTGGGTCTGAAAGGAAAACTAGAAGTAGGCACAAGACAACCATTTCTCAAACATTTCCCACATTAAATCAAGTTATTGGTCATAAAGGGCAAACTAGAAGTAAGATCTACGATTGAGAAAATCACCCTGGAGGGGCGTGCAATGTCATTTCTTTTCTCAAGTGCACACAGTCTCAGTATTGTTTTCTGCAAATCTCATCCCACAGCTAAAAAGTTTTCAAAAAAACATTCCTGAAATAGTCTGATGGCTTAGAAGAGGGAAAACCCTAAGTGACTGATCGCATATGAGGATGACCATAAATAGAGATGGAGGAAGCCTGGAGTTCAAATTATAGACAGATGAGACAAACTGTTCTGTAGATTCACTGTTCTGGTGACCAGCAAGTAAAGGGCAGAGTGACGCTGTGTCTGTCAGGTGTCTGTCAAGGCCGTTGTTTATTTAGTGCACACATGCAGTATGTCTGCACGCTATAGAGCCCCACAGCACGACCCTTCGGATTGGAAAAACACGGCCGGACCTCAAAAGACACCTTTGCTGTTTGCTATTGAGGTCATCTTGTGCAGACCAATATTTGCTCTGATTTGTTGGGTTTCCATAACATCGTTAACCTTCTGCTGATATTGCTTCTCCATCTCCAGTGCTGTGTGGACCTGAGCAAAAGAGTCCTGAAGCTACAAAGCTCAGGGGAGGAGCTACCTTTCTTGAAGCCCCCATTGGTCAGCCAGTGCCATGATAGCAACGAGAACCTGTGACCCTGGCATGTCACCTCCGCCCAACCAAAACCACATGCCCTCCTCTGATTGGCAGCAGCTGAGAGCTGAGAAAAAAGCGACCCGGTCCTTGTCGAAGGTCTAATCGGTGTCTCGCACTGCCAACAACATGGATGAACAGCCAACAATATGTTGGTTTACACCATTGTGTTTGTTTCTGTTGAATTAAGAAGTTGTCATGATTTGAATCTAATTAGCATATTCGTTTTTTTGGAGCAGATGGAGGGATGGATGCGTTTATGTAACGTTGTTCATATTTATGTACCCAATCAATCTGTTTTCAATCTGCAAGACAGTGTGTCATTGTTTAACACTGAAACACGATGAGTTGGACTTTGATTAACCTTTATAATTCACATATGGAGTTTGATTGCCTAATAAATGGCACAACTGTTTGTAATCCAAACCTGGTTCAGTACAAATGCTAATATCTCCCTCACATCTCTTTTTAGAAACAATATTTTCTCTAATTCCACATACTAGCCATTCTGCATGATCGTTTTGTACACGTCTGCTTTTCTATATGTCTACATGTTAATGTTTGTGTGAGTGTGTGTGTGACTAGGAGACATGCAAGTGTGGCAATGTGCGCGTGTGTGTGTCAATGTGTGTTTCTAGGGAACATGAGAGTGTGTCAATGTGTGTGTGTGTCAATGAGTGTGTCAATGTGTGTGACTAGGAGACATGAGAGTGTGTGTGACTAGATGGGAGTGCTGGATGTGAATTGTATTTGTGCAAATCAACTGAGACTTGTTGGTGAGATATTGTAGCTGGTTTTCCACATGGGAAAGGCTCCATTATTGTCCTTATCTGACTATCTCTGGTCAGAATCCCCCCCCATTCCTCTGGCGGGGGATATAAATCACTCTGGCCTGAACTTGTCCTGTGCCATTCCATTTAAGCACTATCCATCACACACACATTTTTCTTAGGTTCAGGAAACTTATCTCCATGTACGTTTCCCCTTTTCTGACGTACAATAATCGGAATGACATGTCATATCTGCTGATTTGGTCGGGTACTGATGACCACGGTACCGGAATCGTCTACAGACACTGAATCATCTACAGACACGGAATCATCTACAGACACCTGCCTGATTTAAAATCCAAAAGGCTGGATACAGGGCTTAAACAACAAAACCTGTTTCAAATACTTCCCAACTGCACTTAGTTTGTTTACAGAGCTGACGGCTGTGTTGGCTTGGATATTTTAGTTTTTTTAACCGTCCTTTAAAGCCCAGTTTAAGCATCTACAACGGATACCTACTCAGCCTGGCCAACTCTGTATGAATAAGGCATGTGAGGGAAGCCAAACGCTAAACTAGCATCTTTAACATGACTAATTCACACTCCAGCTGGATCCATTAACATTGTCTTGATAGAGTCAAAAAGATGTCATACTAGCATTGTATTTTAGAAAATCACGTAATGAAAACAGTGGACATTAAGGTCCTAGATCAGCATTCCTTCTCGGAAGCTTTTTGTTAGACCGGGCTCAGAACTGTGCCCTGTGTGTGTGTGTTTGTGTGTGTGTACATAGATCTCTGTGATCCTTCCTACACATTGACATACTGTACTGAAGTACCTCTCAATATGCTGTGCCACGTAAATCGATGTATGAAAGAAAGATATTTTTAGTGTTTTTTGGAACAATATTTTCTCTGCCTATTAAAATATGTATTCTGTCTAGCTCTGTTTTACAGGTCTCTTTTGCACACATTTATTGTTCCAAGACAAAGATGTGCCTGTATTGTTGTAAAGTAGATAAACATTTAAACAATTTAAAGAGCAAACATTGACAAATGACAAATATGACATAGAAACAAGACCATTATTATACTTAAAATAAATTACTCCAGAGAAAAAGGGTGATCTAACTAAAACTAATACAAGTCGATGATCTCAGCTTTTTGCTTTTTATTTTTTATCAACCACATGTAGCTTAGCTACCCTCGTGTGCTGCGATGACCCCACGACCTGCTCTGGAGTGAGAGCAGATAAGGAGAAAAGAGCCAATTCATGTTTGTGTAGAGAAAGGAGATGTTCCCATAGAGACGGTCTGGGAAAAGGGATGACCTCTGACCTCACTGCCCCCGAAACTCCACGATCCAACCTTCTGTCAGAAGACTCAGAAATGCAGGCTGCCTCAGCCTGTTAATCACCCAATTACCTGCCGAGGTCTCTATGACCAAGACGTTGTCTCACCCAGAGCTGTAGGTTCTCAGTGGTCATTAACCCGGTTTAGCATTTCATCCAGCTATTTATTAGAATCAGGTGAGGAGTTAGAACTTACAGGAAGTTAGCTTCCGGAAACCCTGAGCTACAGCGTTAGGGTTGTCACAAGAAACTGTGTTTTTCACAATTACACATATCCACACTGCTAATGGGATTATGAAATGTTCTCCAATACACTACACTACAAAGAATGTTAATTAATTTTGTATTTTAAGTACGCCATTAAAAAAGAAACACTTCTTTTTTTACAATGACAATCTGGACAACACAACATTCAGTTACAGCAGGACATTGACTTGAAGCACAGCTCCAAACAATGCAAGAACTATTTAGGGAAGAAGCAGTCAGCTTGTATGACGTCGATAATGGAATGGCCAGCACATCTCGACCCTTTTGAGCTGTTGTGGGAGCAGCTTGACCGTTTGCACGTAAGAAGTGGCCATCAAGCCAATCAATATGAAGGAGGTGCATTCAGGAAGAATGCTGTAACATCTCCTCAGGTCACCTCAACAAATTGACAACAAGAATACCAAAGGCCTGCAAGTGCTGCACACATTTAAAGAACATCATTGTAAACCTTATTTCAAACCTTGTCAATTACTTGTCATTTCCTTTTCAAACTAACTTATGATATGTTTTCATGGAAAACAAGGACCTTTCTAAGTGACCCCAAACTTTTGAACGATAATGTTGATACATATGCTCACCATCATATGTTAGCGGCTCCAGCACAATGTTTAGTGAATCACTATGAACTGTCAAGTTTGAGGCTTAGAGCTTAAGATAATGACAGAGACTTGTTCAGCCAAAGAAACGCTACTGACCGGTGGCAATTTAAACTGGGATTAGCCCCGTTCGTCGTTATAGGTTTTCATACGGTGTCTACAACCAGTCACAGTTAACCCGAGGCTCCTCCATTATCTAGGATTTCATTCTGTGGATTAAAGACAGTCCATGCATCTCATCAGGTCTCAGAAAATACGGTTTCATTTGAGTCGCAACGAGCGCGCACTCCCAAGTCTGGAAACTTCACACGGCCACATCTCAGCTGTATGATCAAACCCCACCTGGAGCTCCCTTTCACGCAACTCAATCTCAGTTGGGT